TGGTTCTGGGGGGTCAGCTGTGGTTTTAGGGGGTCAGCTGTGGTTTTAGGGGGTCAGCTGTGGTTCTGGGGTCAGCTGTGGTTCTGGGGGGTCAGCTGTGGTTTTAGGGGGTCAGCTGTGGTTTTAGGGGGTCAGCTGTGGTTTTAGGGGGTCAGCTGTGGTTTTAGGGGGTCAGCTGTGGTTCTGGGGTCAGCTGTGGTTTTAGGAGGTCAGCTGTGGTTTTAGGGGTCAGCTGTGGTTTTAGGGGATCAGTTGTGGTTCTGGGGTTCAGCTGTGGTTCTGGGGGGTCAGCTGTGGTTTTAGGGGGTCAGCTGTGGTTCTGGGGGTTCAGCTGTGGTTTTAGGGGTCAGCTGTGGTTTTAGGGGTTCAGCTGTGGTTCTGGGGGGTCAGCTGTGGTTTTAGGGGGTCAGCTGTGGTTTTAGTGGCCCCTGTCCAGTGCTGATGACATGGAGGATGTCCAGGGCCAGGGCGGCCCCTTCAGAATAGAACCCAGGGGACATTGTATTTTATTGAGTTTTAAAAGATGTTTTAGTTTTAGAAGCTTCTCACTCTTGCTGTTTGTAGGCGTATTGCATTTAGAACTTAAACATGGGGGTTTGACTGACAAGAGATAGACGAGAGATGGAGAGGACATGGACAGGACTAGAGAGGAGGTAAACTAGATGTGGACAGGAGGTGGACAGGATGTGGACAGGAGGTGGACCAGAGGTGGACAGGAGGTGGACAGCATATAGATAGGATGTGGACAGGAGGTGGAGAGGACATGGACAGGACTGGATAGGAAGTAAACTGGATGTGAATAGGAGGTGGACAGGATGTAGACAGGAGGTGGACAGGATGTAGACAGGAGGTAGACAGGACATAGACAGGAGGTGGACAGGCTGTAGACAATGTGGACAGGAGGTGGACAGGATGTAGACAGGAGGTGGACAGGATGTAGACAGGACATAGACAGGACATAGACAGGAGGTGGACAGGACATAGACAGGAGGTGGACAGGCTGTAGACAATGTGGACAGGAGGTGGACAGGATGTAGACAGGAGGTAGACAGGACATGGACAGGAGGTGGACAGGATGTGGACATGGACAGGAGGTGGACAGGACATAGACAGGAGGTAGACAGGACATGGACAGGAGGTGGACAGGCTGTAGACAATGTGGACAGGAGGTGAACTAGAGGTAGACAGAAGTTGTACAGGATGTAGATGGAGGTGGATGGGAGGTGGAGAGGACACGGACAGGTGGTGGACAGGATATAGACAGGAAGTGGTGGATGGGAGGTATGGAGTCCTTTCAGAATTGATGGGAGCTTGCTGTCCCTAGGGATGGTCCTGACCAGAATTCACCTCAGCTCGGGGTTTTCAGTGGAAATACAGCCCTGGAAACAGCGTACAGCTCCTCCAACCAGGTCCTGCTCAAGTTCCACAGCGACTTCTCCAACGGAGGCTTCTTTGTCCTCAATTTCCACGGTCAGTTCATTTTCCCCGCCAACTGCCACCGAGAATTCCAGGTGGTGTTTCCGCAGGGTGAGGCACAGCCGACCTCCAGGTGCTGGTGTGGTGTCTGGGGCCCTTTTTCCAGCCTCCTGGGGTGCAGCCCGGTCTCTTTCTGTCTTCTGTGTCATCAGACCATGGTGATGCGTTCTCACTATCTACTGGCATCACATACAAATGTCAGGAACAACCAGTGCTCTTTGGAATGGGCGCTGAGGGGGCTTGCTGTGGTGTGGGGCCCCTTTTCTCCCAGGGCAGACCCCAGAGCAGATTCCTCAGGAGAAGAAGAGGGGATCTTACCAAATCTGAAACAGGACTTGCAGCCAGGCCCTGTTCAGAGCACCTCCCTGCAGAATTTCAAGTGCGTTAGAGGACTTTCCTCTGTGTGTTTACGTAGCAGCTTGGTATGAACTAACTGTAGGAGCACTTGGACAGTGACAATGTCACGAGGCAGTGGCGAACACGTGCGGGTATTTCAGTGAACCTCAGCTTTACAACCGTAGGGCAATGCAGCTTGCAGTCATCTTGGCTCTCAGCAGTGTCTGCCATGACACCTGCTTTTCATGAACTTTCTCCGCAGCATTTCAGCTGAAGAGGTGCCCGGCCCCTCCCGCGGTCCCCCATGCCGACCTGATTGCCGAGGATGAGGACTTCGAGATTGGTAAGGTCTCCTCCACCATGCCCCATGGTTCCAGCCGTGCATACCCTGTCCCGCAGTCGGCCCACACTCCCATCTCCCCCGGAATCAGACTTGGGCTGGCACATGGGAAATTTGTCAGAAAGGATGAAACTTTCCCAGGCCATTGCTGTGGTCTGATACAGAGACAGACCAGGAGAGGAGTTTCTTTTACACTTCTGTGACTTTTGTTTTGCCACTTGAATTTGGGTTTTGACATTTGAGTTATTTTCTTCTCTCTTTCTCTATAATGTCACTTAGCCATTCAAAAAATCATTTTGTACACAGTTTGTGGAGGCAGGCTTCAGCAGATACTTGCTTTAATTAGGGTGAGATATGAACATACTTAAGAAAGACTGTGTTTGTAGCCATAATGCTGATGATTTAACAGAACCTCCCAGGAAGTAATTGGTGGCAGATAGTGGATGATCACATTTAGAAGTTCCGCATTATCACTTACATCAATGGCCGTATTCACTAAGTGATCATGTGGTACCTAATAAAGCACCCGGCACATGTTTGCAGCATAATTATTGTGACCACAGCTTCTCATTCCTAATGACAAGTCTTGTCCTGATGCCAAGGCATGCCTCCAGCGGCTGGTCAGGCTCTGTGACCCGATGTCTTCTTTGCTCGTGGAGAACCAGCTGACTGAAACCTGTGCTCCTCTGCCAAGGTCACATGGAGGTCATTCTGCCATTTTCTCCTCGCCGACCCCGAGGCCTCTAGTGCACGGCACTGATTTATTTAGTCATCAGGGATGGAGAGCGTAGGAAGGAAACCTGGACACCATGTCTGTACTAACATTGGGTTACTGCAGCATGGGTGTACAGTGAGAATCAGAAATGGCACGTTCTCCAGAGAACACCAGTTCTGAGATGGTTTGCACACTGACTTGATTCATCAAGTGGCCACACACATGTACCACAGTCATGCACTTAGAATGTTCTAGAAACACCATTTCCCAGCATGTTGGATTGGTTCTTTCAGGAGACTTTGTGAAGTATCAGTGCCACCCTGGCTACACCTTATCTGGAAGTGACACGCTCACCTGCAGACTCAGCTCCCAGCTGCAGTTCCAGGGCTCGGTCCCCTCCTGTGAAGGTATGTCTGTGAAGACCCCGCTGTGTGGCTCCAACATCTCTGTCTGTCTGTCTGTGAACACCCTGCTGTGTGGCTCTGGCCATCTTTGTCTGTCTGTCTGTCTGGGAACACCCCGCTGTGTGGCTCAAACATCTTTGTCTGTCTGTCTGTGAACACCCCACTGTGTGGCTCTGGCCATCTCTGTCTGTCTGTCTGTGAACACCCCGCTGTGTGGCTCTGGCCATCTTTGTCTGTCTGTCTGGGAACACCCCGCTGTGTGGCTCTGGCCATCTCTGTCTGTCTGTCTGGGAACACCCGCTGTGTGGCTCTGGCCATCTCTGTCTGTCTGTCTGTCTGGGAACACCCCGCTGTGTGGCTCTGGCCATCTCTGTCTGTCTGTCTAGGAACACTCGCTGTGTGGCTCTGGCCATCTTTGTCTGTCTGTGAACACTCCGCTGTGTGGCTCTGGCCATCTCTGTCTGTCTGTCTGGGAACACCCCGCTGTGTGGCTCTGGCCATCTTTGTCTGTCTGTCTGGGAACACCCTGCTGTGTGGCTCTGGCCATCTCTGTCAGTCTGTCTGTGAACACCTGCTGTGTGGCTCTGGCCATCTCTGTCTGTCTGTCTGTCTGTCTGGGAACACCCCGCTGTGTGGCTCTGGCCATCTCTGTCTGTCTGTCTGGGAACACCCCGCTGTGTGGCTCTGGCCATCTCTGTCTGTCTGTCTGTGAACACCCGCTGTGTGGCTCTGGCCATCTTTGTCTGTCTGTCTGTGAACACCCCGCTGTGTGGCTCTGGCCATCTTTGTCTGTCTGTCTGTGAACACCCTGCTGTGTGGCTCCAGACATCTTTGTCTGTCTGTCTGTGAACACCCCGCTGTGTGGCTCTGGCCATCTCTGTCTGTCTGTCTGGGAACACCCCGCTGTGTGGCTCTGGCCATCTCTGTCTGTCTGTCTGGGAATACCCCGCTGTGTGGCTCTGGCCATCTCTGTCTGTCTGTCTGGGAATACCCCGCTGTGTGGCTCTGGCCATCTTTGTCTGTCTGTCTGTGAATACCCACTGTGTGGCTCTGGTCATCTTTGTCTGTCTGTCTGGGAACACCCCGCTGTGTGGCTCTGGCCATCTCTGTCAGTCTGTCTGTGAACACCTGCTGTGTGGCTCTGGCCATCTCTGTCTGTCTGTCTGTCTGTCTGGGAACACCCCGCTGTGTGGCTCTGGCCATCTCTGTCTGTCTGTCTGGGAACACCCCGCTGTGTGGCTCTGGCCATCTCTGTCTGTCTGTCTGTGAACACCCGCTGTGTGGCTCTGGCCATCTTTGTCTGTCTGTCTGTGAACACCCCGCTGTGTGGCTCTGCCCATCTTTGTCTGTCTGTCTGTGAACACCCTGCTGTGTGGCTCTAGCCATCTTTATCAGCATCAGCTTGAGCTTGGCCTGTGTCAATTCCATGGTTACCTCACTCACAGGTTTCTATTATCTTCCTGTCCAGTCACCAGTTGGCCTCATGCTTTGAATGCTTTCTTTTTTTTTTTTTATTTGTCAGTCAGGGGCTTGAACTCTGGGCCTGGGCGCTGTCCCCCAGCTCTTCAGCTCAAGGCAAGCACTCTACCACTTGAGCCAAAGTGCCACTTCTGGCTTTCTGGTGGTTAATTGGAGATAAGAGTCTTGTAGATAATGGTCTTTCCTGCCCCAGCTGGCTTTGAACCACAATCCTCAGATCTCAGCCCCCTGAGTAGCTGGGATTACAGGCGTGAGCCACCAGCACCTGGCACTTTGAATGGTCTCGAAGGCAATTTTGTGTGTCATACCACTGCATGAACATAGTATTTAAAAAATAGGGGGCATAAAATTTATAAACTACCAAGTGAAGTGTGTAACTTTCCTGATTTTTACAAGTCTTTAAAATAAGTTGAATGTATGCAAGAGTTTAGATAATCTATTATAGCAGAGAAAAGGTTTATGATGGATACATTGTGCCAATGGACCAAAATGATTAGGTCATTTTACACATATAATCTCATTGGTGCTAGTTTCAAGTGTAATTAGAAGAAAAGGGTTTTAGGACTACAAACTAGCTCAAACAGCCCAACTGAAAGCTATCAACTCACTATGGAAAATTCTCAAATTAATTTTTTAAAAACCACAGTGCAGATGTAGCCTTTGCGCAATAAGCTGACTCCACCTGGGAGCGTGGGTGATATCGCTGACTGGGAGAGGACCAGCTTTGCTTCAAACAATGAGTGGCTTGGCAGCCGGGGTCCTGCTCTGCATTTCTCCAAAGCTGCAGCGGCTCTGCTGTGCCACGGACGCAGGAGCTGGCCCTCCCGGTGGTCCTCCTGGCTTGGCGGTCAGCAATCCCGCCATGGTCCCAGAAGAAAATCACACTTTTATCTGAGTGGCTTCATTCTGTGAGTTCCAGAATTATTTTCTACTATGGCCACTCATTTCTGCTATAAATGTTTTTTTTTTAAATATGACCTAAAATGCATATGTATTTAAAGGACTCTATGTCATGCATCACTGCTGGTGGTTTTATGTCTAAACATTCCTAAATTTGAAGGTATATTTCAATTAGAAACAGAAGAAGGTGAAGCTTTTCTTTTCCCTACAAGGTTTGTTAAAATATGTTCAAGCTTTTAAAGAAGATATATTCTGTTTGGAGAACTATTTGTATTAAAAATACAGCTGTAAGTAATACAGAGGAAATACCTTAGAAGTAGATAACTCAATAAGATACATTTTTGATGAAAGTTCATTTCTTTGTGATTACTGATTGCTGAACTTTTTAAAAAGCACTCTAAATAGTTATGGTTCTATTTGTGTGCTATTACTAATAATAGAAATAGTTTTCCCTTAATTATTCTATAAGCAAATGTTTCTAGAATATAAGTTATCAACAAGAGAAATTAGTGGTTGATGAACTCTTATTTGGCTATTCCCTTCTGTGCATGCACATCTGTGAAGATTATTTTTATTTGAATTAACTTGTAAGTCACTGAACAAGAAAGTGAAGAAAGCAGGGGAAAGGCTTGCACACATACCCCTAATCCCTCACAGTTCATCCAGAAGCGCTTGTCTAGGTAAACCTGGATCCCAGTGCAAACTGTGGGTTGCTGCAGGTGCGGGCTGGGTGTGAGTCAGGTCTGTCAACTGGGCCTCTAGTGAAGCCACAGCCGAAGTTCCAACGCCACTAACTCGCGTGGGTCCAGGACAGAGCGGCTTGAGAGCCAGCAGCGGGATTTAGTCACACCGTCTGGCCTGGGGTGAACTTGGGCCGCCATCGTGCAGTGTGCGGTGCCTGCCGGTTTTCGGCTTGCCTCTCGGGCAGTGTTTGTGTCTGGTATTCAGTGTGGTCAGAGCTCAGTGAGACCGCCTTTTCTTTTCATCAGCTTGTATATACAGGGATAAAAAGTCTCCAACGGAAGTTGGATTCATTTTGTTAAAGCAAAGCTTTACCGATGCTTCTCTCTGCAGCACAATGCCCAGCAAATGAAGTCCGGACAGAATCTTCTGGAATAATCCTCAGCCCTGGGTATCCAGGCAACTATTTTAACTCCCAGACTTGCTCCTGGAGCATTAAAGTAGAACCAAACTTCAATATTACTATCTTTGTGGACACATTTCAAAGTGAGAAACAATTCGATGCGCTGGAAGTGTTTGACGGTAAGTTCCTTCTGTTGATGTGTTCCCGCAGCACAGGGGCTGCGTTCTCCAGGCGAATTCAGATTCCTGCCCCAACCAAATCACATCAGCCGGCGCCCAGCACTGGGGCCTGGGCGTCTCAGAGAGGAGGATGGTAGGACTGCTGACATTGCAACTTTGCAAACTGAAGTCGCAATGTGAACAGGAATTTTTTATTTTTTAAAGTTACCTCTAAGTAGTTGTACAGAGAAGTTTCAATTCAACGTGTCAGGGTATGAGTACAGGCATCCTTGTGCATGCCATGAACTTTTTAACCATTCTTCAATTCTTTAATGTGGGAACTCAGAGAAGATGCTCTCAAAAGTCCTTTCTTTCCCAGATATTACATTCATTCACAAAGCACTGTCGGTGAATTAAGCAGTGTACAAATATTCTACTCAAGTTGAGCACTTTGCTAGAAAGGCGTAAAAATCATGACAGAGACATCTAGAAGGTAGAGGGTAGCCGTCCTCTCAGGTTATTTTTAGTAGTAAAGTGCAGCTAACTGAAAACACACTGATGCTGTTTTCAGGACCAGCCTTGTGATTTTGCTGCAATTTGAATGAAAATGTTAATGTAACAATACACATATTTGAAGAGTCAATTTTAAGTGAAATTGATGATAATTTTCTTTGTCTACAAGCAGACCAGGATACAATTACAGCTGAACATAATTATGGCATTTTCTCATGTTTTGACAGAGTTTTCGTTGAGTTCAGATAAGTCACAATCATTTCAGTGGAAAAAAATAATGTTATTAAATTTTTGGTTGTTGTGCTGCCCTGAGGAGCCGCCAGTCACATGACCGTATCAGTAGACCCCTGACCGTCGGCCTGTGTGTCTTCCCATCCCCGTATCGATAGACCCCTGACCGTCGGCCTGTGTGTCTTCCCATCACCGTATCAGTAGACCCCTGACCGTCGGCCTGTGTGTCTTCCCATCACCGTATCAGTAGACCCCTGACCATCGGCCTGTGTGTCTTCAAAGACTGAATTTATGCATTTCTATATTTAGAATTAAATTCAGCTTTATATATAGAAAAACAAAAGACTAGGGAAACAGTATCTTGTTTTCAGAGGGATTTTTCAGTGTAATTCCAGGCAGACATGCATCTTTCCCTCTGTCCTTTTAGTGGAGGAAGGGAATCATTATATTAGTGTAGAGAGGGGAGGGAGGAGGAGGGGGGAGGGGAGGTAGACTCACCCCAAGCCTATCAGATGCAAAGGGAAGCAACGCCTGTGTAGACCACGAGTGTCCAGACATGTTGTATGCACGAATATCCGTGTGTATCCCTAGGCACCTAAGATAATTAAATACAGGTCATTACTTTGGATGTTTCACATTAGTTGGACTGGAATATAGCTGGCCATGGGTTTCTTTTAGTTTCAGGAGAACTGTTTGTACTATAACGTATCCATTGATTGCCTCCAAATCTGGACAGCCCACACCTGTGATAAGCAGCAAGCAGAGGAGACCTCAGACCCAATATCCTGTGAGGCTGAAAGCCTTCTCAGAGAGCTAGGCTAGCTTTGTTCTACTCCCAGAGACTTTTTGATGACACCAAAGGTCAGAGTTTAATATGGATAAGGTTTTAAGTGGTGACATTTTTCTTGCAGTAAATGTCATGCTTCTGCCTTTATTTGATAAGACGGTGCCCCTCTCTCCCCTCTGCGTTGACCAGAGAGCGGTTGATTATATTGATGCTGAAAGTCATCATCCCAGCAGTGTTCGCTCTGTGTCAGAAGTCTGGAGAGACACAATTTCTAAAAATGGGACTTTAATCATCGTGAGACTGGGCTGAGTAATGAATGTGACTCACTGGTGCACAAGGCTGCTGGCACCCAGGCCTCTCGGGCTCTCACGCCCCCACCCCAGTCCCGTGCGGCCGGCCCAGCGTGTGTGTGAACCCAGATCCACGGCCCCTCAGGATATCAGCCCTCTTGGGTCAGAACCACCCTTGAGAGCTCACCCATCACACGCACAGATCCTATATCCAGACACAGCTACCTTCTGACGTATTGTGTGATCAGAGATGAATGCAATTAGCCTGATTCGAAAATTACAAGAAATTCCTAAGAATTACACAGTCAATGGTGTTGTAAATTCTCAATTTAAATAAATTACCTCTGTATAAACGTCAAGGACAGGGTCACTCACCCTGGCCACACGTGTGCCGGGAGGCCTCCTCCACACTGCGCTGCGTTTCCAGGAGACCTCTCCTGGAATGGACCAGTGCCAGGAGCACGTGAAGGACAGGGGAGTGTGAAACTCCAAAGTATTACTTAGGGTCCAAACACAGAAGTGGCGTGGGCATACGGATGATTCTGTGCAAATAGCCCTTTGTGCACAAGTGCTGCAGCTTAAACAAATGTGAGATCCTGAAAGGGATGCCCCAGAGCTGCAGAGACATGTCCAGAGTCTGTGGCCTCGCTCGGGAATGCCGGTGAAGGCGCTGATGATGTCAGCGCAGATGGCCTCACTGTCCGTTCCCATGTTCCCCAGCTCAGTAATCTCTGATGAAGGCGTCGATGATGTCACAGCCGGTTCCTGTGCTGCGCGCACGGATGATGTCACTGCCCATTCTCACATCCCCAGCACAGTGAACACTGCACACACTGATGATGTCACCATCCATTTCACTCTTCCTGCTGTTTCTTAGGCTGTTTAAATGTCTTTCCATTAGTAACTTAAGCAAGTGACTTTTTATCCTGGCTGTTGGTATTCTTATCAAGGAACTTTGTTGCTATGATCATTTGAGATTCTTTGTCCACTTTGGAAATACATACTGTACATAACATGTTTGGATCGCAGTCTTGTCAGAAGCTGATCTGTGTGTAGGTGTGAACTCTCATGTGGCTTGCCATGCTCTCTCCCCAGGCTCTTCCGGACAGAGTCCTCTGTTAGTTGTCCTAAGTGGGAACCACACTGAGCAATCCAATTTCACCAGCAAGAGCAACCAGCTGTACCTCCGCTGGTCCACTGACCACGCAACCAGTAAGAAGGGATTCAAGATTCGCTATGCAGGTACGTGACCCACCATGGGATCATCCGTCACACAAGGGACCTTCATTCCATTTAAAAAAAAAAGGAGCTGGGTAAGCCAGCACACACCTGTAATCCCAGATATGTAGAGACTAACAGGAAGATCACAGGTCAAAGCCAGTCCAGAGGTAAAGGAGATCCAAACTAAGAGCAAAAGGCTGGGTGGACGGCGGCCTGGCAGAGCACTGCAGGAGTAAGCCTTGGGTTTAATCTCTAAAAAGTAAAACAAAATAGAGATTATAATGCATATCGAGCTAATCTCTACTGTACAAGAAATCATGTTGGGAAGGGAGTCTCCATGCTGTATCTACACAACACTAGCATATTGGGTGGTGATTATTTTAAAATGTATCATTAAAACAATAGATCTTTGAATTGCATGCCATAGACCACAAAGGTATTTCTAAAAAGATACAATAATATCACCAAAACTAGTCCTTTAATTGCTAAGAAAATAGATATGTCACTGTTGACTACATGTGTTGATAACCCCTTTTGTTAGTACATCAGGTTGTCAGTCTTTCTGTGATCTTTACACACGCCACATACACATAGTGAATATGTATACATATGTGAATATGTACATACATATATATATGTATGTACATATATGTATATATACAGATGGAAAGATATCTGTATATGTACACACACAGATGTATATATACAGACGATATGAGGCCAGGCAGGGTGGATGGAAAGACAGGGGAGGGTTCAGACAGCCTTCCTCTGTTCTGTGGAATATGATGCGCGCAGAACCTTGTCACAGAGACCATGGGGCCGTGGCAGTTAGGCATGGATTACGCTTGTCAATGTTCCGAAAGAGGCAAACACTAGCCTTCCAAACAACAGGCCTTTATTTCCACCCCGAAAAAATGGCCAGTAGAAGAACTCACTGTGAAACATAATTCATCATGTTTTATCTGTGGCCCACTCTGACACGTAATACCTTGAATTCTCAGAACACTAACGTGTTTTCATTTTCCTGAACTATGTCAGGAAAATGTCGCCATAGAGTGTTATGTGTGGCCTCGTGTGCATGTGTGATTATGTACACACACATGCACGCACACCCAGGCACACATTCACAAGTGATCACACAGTACAGATACAGACACATGCACGCAGGCCTGCGTACGCCAGGACCACCTCAGGGTGCCCGGAGCTGCAGGAAACTGCACTCTGGGCTTTGAGTCTCATCCGTGTCCTGGGCTTGAACTCAGGGCCTGAGCTCGAGGCTCGAGGCTGTGCTCTACTTCTGGCTTTTTGGTGCCTTTTTGGAGATAAGTCCCACAGCCTTTCCTGCCCAGGCTGGCTTTGAACCGCGATCCTCAGATCTGGGCCTCCTGAGTAGCTGGGATTACAGGCGAGCCACGGCCGCCCGGCAGCTCTACATTTTGGACAAGTGTACCTCCAGGCGCTCCGTCTGGCTCTAACAGCCAGAGGCGGTGATCTGCGTCCACCTCAGCAGGGAGGTGAGCCCACCCCATCTGGTCTGCACTTGGCTCATGTTGTAGGGCTTGTCTGCCCCCAGCCCCGTACTGCAGCCTACCTGCCACGCTGAGGAACGGCGGCATCCTGAACAGGACAGCAGGGGCAGTTGGAAGCCAAGTTCATTACTTTTGCAAGCCTGGCTACCGGATGATCGGCCTCAGCAACGCCACCTGCAGACGGAGCCCAGCGGGCATCTGCCAGTGGGACTCCCCCGCGCCTCTGTGCCAGGGTAAGGAATGTGCCCCGTCCCGCAGAGCGGGACCCCCCCCCATTGTCACGTGCGTCACACTCCGAAGGGTGCAGAACCAAGGGGAGGCTGGGGTGGAGGGAAGGGAAGATCAGACTCACGCTTAACTCAGGACAAGCCGAACTTTCCACATCCACGCACACACACATTCCAGGTGCTTCCACCGGGCTTCCTCTCCTTCTGCAGCCCGGATTCAGAGAATGGACACTCATTATGCCATCAGCACGGTTATTCCCATGCCTTGCTCACCATGAAGCGAGCGTCAGTTAGCGTTGGTGGCAATTCTTGAGCACCGTTTTGATTAGATGCCCCATTACTGAGTAATTTGTTTTTCTTATTTTAGTTTTATCTTCCTTTGAACCTTAAGCCTTGTATTTAATTTTCTTTGTTCCTTTTAATGGAGGGCTTGTTGGTGTTCATTTCACTATTTCCTGCAATATTTTTGCATTTTATCTATGTAGCATTTGAAATTGAGTTTTCTAAAGAAGCTTTTTGGTGTTTTGGGGGGATGGCACTGGTACAGGAGCTTGAACGTGGAGCCTGGGCGCTGGCCCTGAGCTTTCTCACTCAAGGCTGGAGTGCTCTATCTACTACCACTTGAGCCACAGCTCCACTTCCTGCCTTTTGTGGTTGACTGGAGACGAGTCTCACAGACTTCTCTGTCCAGGCTGGCTTTGAATTGCAGTCCTCCAATTTCAGCTTCCTAGGTAGCCATGATACAGCACCCAGAAGCCTTTTTATTGTAACTGAAAAGTTTGAAGTCATGAAATTTTCATACGTTTGCCTGATGATGTTTATATTCATCACACAATTGATTATGATTTGTGAATGGGACTTCGTGTTGGCGTCCTTATTTTTCATTCACATAGGGCTTAGATTTCCATTATTGCTCTGTAAGGGGGGGGAGACGCAAACTGTTCTCATACATGTACAACCATGAGTTGTGATAACTTAGTTTATAGTATTTACATCTTTTTTCCAGATCTGAATTAGTTCATGCGTCATAAACATAATGATAGATCCAAGAAGCTTGTTTTATGCTATTAGGAAGTGCGACCTTTCTTCTTTGAAAGCAGGAAAGGGCACTTCCTGCTCCCTCTGAGTCCTCGCTCTGTGCGGCACAGCGCCCGGTGTGCGGGAGACACTGCTGTACCCGCCACGTCTCCTGCGCTGGTTGTTTGGTTTGTTGGTTGGTTTGTTTGTCACTGGAAACAATTCCCATGACAAATCATTGACCCATGGGACCTATGTTTCTTTGGGCCTGGCTTACTTCACTTAATATAATTTTTTCCAAGTTTTTCCATTTCCTAACAAATGGGGTAATGCCATTCTTTCTGATGGAGGCATAGAATTCCATTGTGTATATATACCACATTTTCTTGATCCATTCGTCTACTGAGGGGCATCTGGGTTGGTTCCAGATCTTGGGGCGGGGGGAGAAGATGGGAAGGGGAAGCAAAGGAGGAGGCAGCAATGCTTGATAAGAAATGCACTCACTACCTGCCCAGGTAATTGAAACCCCTCTGTATGGTATTTTCACAATTAAAAAAATCATTGACCCAAACAACAGCCTAGACTCAGAAAGGGGTCAGAGTAGGCCCAGGGCCCCGAGTTCCCAAATAAAGTCCTCTAGATGCCAAGTGTACCATGGCCTGTGTGGACCCAAGGCCTCCAGAGGCTCTGGGGGGCTGGGCAGCTGTTGGTCGGAAGCATGGAGTCGAACCCCCACCCCACCTCACGGCTCAAGTGCAGAGCTGGGCCAGCTCTCCTTCAGCCTCCCAGATGCTTCTGTGAGCAGGGCAGGCCCAGCCCTAGCACCTGGGGTTGGGGGAAGCATGCCGCGGGCCACATGTATTTTATTGGTTTCAGAGAACTCTAGGTTGTTTTTCTTGTGCTGCTTGACCTTTTAAATGATTTCCCTCGGCAGGGCTGCCTTGGTTTTTATCCTCAATAAAGCGGGCATATCTTCGGTCCTGCAGGCTTCATTTCCTGTCTTCCAGCACGGAGTTGTGCCAAGCAGCAGTTCCATTATCTGTACACTGATCTTATTCATCTCCAAAAGAAGCCTGAGCTAGAGCCGGGGTTTTCAGCATTATCTTGAGGATGCAGTTAAACTGGTTCCTCACCGCGGCCGCTTTCAAGTTGGCCCTGTTAGAGAGAGCAGCTTGCAAGGAGCATTGGTGACAGCTGCGTCTCCCAGCCTGGTGCACGCAGGCCCTCGCGTGGTACAGACTCTGTCTGCTGTTTGCTTAGGCTTTGCCAGCACTTCTGCAACAAGAAAGAGCAGGAAAAAGTTGATCTATCTCGTACATTGCACAACCGAGCTTCTGTTCTTGAGGAGAGATACAAATGACTATTCTCTGCTCACAGGCAATCATTTCAAGGGTGTGGGCAGCCCCGGAGGGCACTGGGGAGGGGCTGTGAATGTGGACCGGTGAGGAGTGGGTGGGAGCGTGAACGTGGTCGGCCTTACGCGGTCCATCCTGCATGTAAGTACTAGGCTCCAAGGATCACATTTGCAGGGAAAACACAGTGGTGAACCCCCTGCCGTGCGATTAGAGCCTGAGTCAGGTTCCAGAAATCTAAGCTTGGCCTTTTCACCATGAGAATGCCCTGGGCAATGTCTGCCTCCAGCGTGGGACTCTCTAAATACACTGTTTTCCAAGCTGGGTAAAACGTTTAGTACCAATATCAAAAGCTACAAAGACATAGTTGGAGTTCCAAGGTGGACGGGTGCCTTTCAAAGCTTCAAAATCACAGGAATGTGACGGCTTTCTTTTACCTTAGCGCTGTTCCTTTGCGTCTGTGTAACTCTCTTCCTTCTGTTTGTGAAAATGACTCCATATCTCGGAAACTTAGACTTATTTGGAAATGTAACAACTTTTTATAGTTGTGATGAGCATGTGTGTGTACGTGTGATGTACGTGTGTGTGTGTGTGTGTGTGTGTGTGTAAAGGTGTGCTGTCCTTCTGCTCAGGTTGGCTAAAGGCTTATCAACTTTGTTTATCTTTACAAAGCACCAGCCTTTTGTTTTGTTGATGCTTTATATGGTTCTCTTATTCTATAGTTCATTTATTTCTGACCTAATCTTTCTATTTCTTTGCCAACTGGCTTCAGGTTTACCTTGTTCTTGTTTTTCTAAGAGATTGAGTTACATCATCAGAGTTTCTGAGATTTTTCTCCTATGATTCCATATTTGTGTGTCCTGTGCCTCTGGCTGTCCACTCTGCTCCTTCTCCCAATACCCATCAGTCACAAATTTGGCTTTTGAATTGAGCTCTGAAGTTCTAAGAGGAAATTCCATGGAATAGAAGGGGAAGGAAGAACTTGGGCCGGCAGAGATGGAACAGAAATTCAAAAGAGCAAGAATGTGGGTGGAGGGGACTTTTTGTTTTAATGTAGGTAAATAGTGAGGTCTTTCTTTAATGTTTATAAATAGAGGATCTTCTCTTAAAGTTTGACAATTGAAGCAAAAATTGCATAATGTGATTCTCAGCGCAGACAGAGAAAATAATTAAGAGGCCAGTCCTGTCAATGGAGACACAGGAGTGTGAGATTTCTGTGTACCACGCAGGCCAGCAAAATGTCAGTAGTGCATTGTGGTAACTTGTGCTTTAATAAAAAATAGCTAGAACATTGAATTGGAAAATTATATGAAGTGAAATGAGATAAAACCATAGGTAACCAAAATGCAATTTTAAAGTGTGGTTGAATAACCCATGGGAGAAAGGGAAAATAAAACAGAGGCACACATGTGCAAGACACAAAACAACAGCAAAGGGCGGAAAATGCCTCCATCTGTCACTTCGCCACTTTTGAGAGAGACTGGGGTGGGGGAGTGGATGGATGAGTGATTGGTAATGTTCCAATTATGCCTGAGTCCTCTCCCTTTACTAAGAGTAAACTTTAAATGTCTTTCAAAAGTACCTTTCTGTTGACAAACGAGACGTTGGTGGTGATCTGGGGCTTGTCTCAGCGCCGCTGCACCGCCGCTAACCACGGCCACAGAGTCTCAGCTGTCCTGCTGTCCTGAGCTTTTGGCTTAAACTTATGATGGACGGCACAGGAAAACTGCTCAGAAGTCACGTTGGGGCGAACAGCCTGCCTTTTGGCCTTGTATTCCAGTTTGCCCAGAGAGGCTCTGGTTTATGTCTGGTGAGCCCCCTTCCTGGGTTACCTTGTATTTCTTTCTCTCAGTGTGCATCTCTCTCTGGCTCTGGCTCTGGCTCTCTCCTTCTGAATGGCTTTGATGAAGTTGGATTGTTCCAGTAACTTGGTTTACATGTTTTTTTTTTGGGTCCGGTTGTGGGGCCTGAACTCTGGGCCTGGGCGCTGTCCCTCAGCTCTTCAGCTCAAGGCTAGCGCTCTACCACTTGAGCCACAGC